TATAACACTCAACAATTGAGATTTTCTTTTGAGTTACTTTCTCTCAAAGTAGAGTATCAAATATCATTCTCTTACAAACAACATTGGTCTTTATCGCTGTTTGATTTAATGAGAACAAAAATACCTTTCTTTCCATTTCTTCTTTCATGAAGATTAACTTTCTCTTATTTCTTAACATCTTTATCCTTTCTTAATACACATGGTTAAAACAAGTAATTAACCATATAGCTTTATGTGTATTATAAAGGTTTGAATGGTTAAGAAATTCTACATGAAAGAATCAAGATTGAAATGCGATAGAAATAACTCAATCTCAATTTGAGGGGACTTTAATTAATGATATAGCAAAATTCTCAACTCTAAGAAATGAGCTAAAATACACTTCAATATTTAAGTGTCACAAAAGAAAGCCTTTTAATGGTGCTAGTTAAAACTTGCAACAATTTCTTTTATGGCTTTCATGCAAGATTTAACTATAAATAATTAGGGTTTGAACCCTATTTTATATGAATATGAGACAAAATGAGCAAACTATTAAATTGCTTCTAATTCTCATACTCAACCTCTATATTAGCAAATATATCCACATTATGAGAATGGTTTGTTCATTCTCATGGAAGTCCTAATTTAAAACTTGCACCAAAACAAAAGAGAATGAATTTAAAAATCAAGCTAATAAGAACCATAAAATCATTGGAATGAAACACTAAATTAACAATCAATAACTATATATAAAAAAAAAGCTATGAAATTTGTACCTTGATTTTGAATCAACCTTATGTCAATTCAAATAGTAAATTCAAACCTTTCTGTGGACAAAAGTTGCAAATATGCATAGAATTTACTTTACTTAATCATAAGATTAGTAATTTAGAACAATGAATTAAAGAAATAATTCGTACCTGTGTGCATAGAAATATCTTTTAATTGACTGTCTAATTTACCATCTTATGTCCATTAATCTCATCAAAATAATTACCTCCCTGTGGGGCCGGATAACTATCTCAATGAATTAATTGCAACTTGATATAGATGCCAATTTTTTTTTAATTTCTTTAATCACTCAACAATATGTGAAAAAGAAATGCAAAATTTCTCCAAGCACCAATATACTTAAGATGCTATGGCTACTCTTAAGTATACGGCATTATAAGAAAAATTGTCAACTAGTCAATATGTTGACTAAAAATTCATAATTTTAATCACCAAACTATATGTGATGAAAAACTTTTCTCATCAAATATTTGAGATGCTGTGGCTATTCCCAAATAGTAATGTAAAAGTGAAATTCTTAACATGGCATCTTGTTATTTATCAATAGTCAAAAAACTTTATATTGACTGAATTTCATTGAATTTTCCTTTCCTTTTATAATCACTCAATCTTATGTGATTAAAGTTATTTACACCGTATATTTGAGATGCTGTGGCTACTCCCAAATATATATATATATATTTTTTTTTGGCAAAGCCCCAAATTGGGGTAGGGATGCCATCCCCTAATTTATTTATACCGAAAAGAAAAAAGAAAAATAGCAAAATAGAGGGGGGCCAAACCTGACCTCTGTTGAAGTAAAAAAGAACAATTGAACGAAATCAACCACACGAGGGTGCCCCACATTTGTGAGATTGTGAGTGAGCATGGCCCTTTGGTTTAACATCTTGACGTGTTTGCATTGTTTTACCTTGTTTTGAGAGCTGCTTCCTCGTTTTCTTTGATAGCACTTGGGTAAATTGCTCGTGAATTAGTGTCTGGTCGTGATATTCGTCTGTATCACGTTGCGAATCATCCTTTCCCTCTCCATTTTGGTTATCATTTGTACCTGAATGAAGAAAAGGTTTTAGATGAACGAGAGGAATCTTACCATGTAATTTCTCCCATTGAAACTCTTCGAACACATCTTTAAACTGTGGCACATTTTCAAACCGGGACTTTTCCGTTTCTGTTCGTGTAATTGTACCCACAAGGGGTGTGTCTCCAACTAATACCACATTATGTGGATCATGACTTTTGGCTACCTTCCCAAGTGCATCGTTTCCCACTTTAGATGTAATTTGCTTACATTGCTGCGAAGGGTCGCTAGTATCCATCGCCTTCTCTGTCGATGCAGCCACTGTGAAGGTTCCATTAGCTGATGAATGGCCATCCTCAGCCTCCGACTCAGTGAATTCCCCCTCATCAAGTTGGTTCGTAGCTTGGGGCTTTCCCGAACGCATCTCTTCTGTTTCCCGAAACACCTGATCAGCCAACTTATGAATGATTTCCCCTGCGGTAGAAACAATGGTCTCCTCTACTAACGCAGCGACAGACAACCCAGGCTGCTGGGGTTGGGTCGAGACAGTCCCTGCCGATGGATGCTCAACCAGCAACTCGCCCTCTTCCAGCGCGCATTCCAGAGCTTCCTCTAAGGCATTGCCCCCAGGTCGCTGCACCTCCGGAGTCAGAGTAGGAGCCCCAGGCCTCTCCGTGGGAGTCACCGCATCTCCCATAGTTATCTTGTCCAACTCCTCATTGCCGTTTGTCTCCTCGATAGCTGCTGTCGTACCCTCGCCAACCGCATCTGGTTGCTGAAGGAGACGCTGTGGACCTGCTGTCACCGCCATCCTTCCCATTTCTGAGATCACCCGTGGGACATATCTCCGCCGCTGCTGCTGGCCATTAGCCACTGGCCGCAGAGATGGGTCCTTCCGAAAGCACGAACCAACCCCGTGGCCAAACATACTACAATAGGAGCAGTACTCAGGCAATCCCTCCAACTCCACCGGCTGCCAAAACCCATAGTTATCGTCACCTATCCAGACCCGCTGCACTGGCGGCGCCGAGATGCAGAGCTCCACCAGTACCCGCGCTACCGAGGGGCGCCTAAGGTCACTGGTAGCAGCGTCTACTCGCAACGGCCTCCCCAATGTTGCAGCAAGCCGCAGCAGTTGTTGTTTTTGAAAAAAGGGTAGGGGCAACTCAGGAAAGGCCACCCACACCGGAGCAAATGCCAACTCCTGATTTGCTTTGAACTCCAAAGACCATTTGGATATTGACATCGGAGAACTGCGTACGTACCACACCCTCCTTGCGAAAAGCCTGGTGTAATCTTCCTCCAACGCCGGCCGAAGTAGCACATGTTTTTGATCCAGCAATCCCACCGCACACTCCCCTTTAAGGCCTAGAGATGTGATGAACTTTCTGATGAGTTCCATTGAAGGCCTGGTGAACGCAAACCTCCCGACAAGAGCATTCTGGAAAGGTTCGGCAAGCTTGGCGATGTCCTGTTTGGTGAGGCGGAGAGCAGGTTCTCCCCTGAAGGTGGAGACCTCCCCCAACGCATCTGAGGCTGCAACCGCAGCCCCACCCGAGACAACCGCCGCAAACGACCTGCCCTGCGGCGGCCCTCCCTCTGGAGACGACTCCGACGACCCGTTGGCCGCCATGCACTAGTTAGGATAAACCCTAGCTGCCTGCTGAGATCCGAGTTTTTCGCTCATCTTTCAAAAAACCAACCCCTACTCCCAAATATGATGTAAGAAAACTTTTAATAAAAATTCATAGAAAATCAGTAGTGAATTTGTTGACCAAAAAATCCTTGATTTTGATCACTAAATCATATGTGATCAAAATTGTAGTACATCAATGTTTGAGATGATATGGCTACTCTCAAACATAAAGTGTACTAGACTTTATAAGGATATCAAAATAGTCAAAAGTCTATATTTTGACAAAAGAATTTCATAATTTCCTTTTTTTTTCTTATATTCATTTTTAACCACCAACCTTTATGTGATTAAAATACTTCATGCATCAAATAATTGAGATGCAAAACACACTTTATAAAGGAAATTCTCTGAAATTTAAATGTAATCAATCATACTAATGTCGACCTTATAATATGAGATAAATAGACATAAGTGTAGTGCACAAAATACTACATAATTCCAAATAACAATAGAAACATGGAGGCAAACTCATATTGAAATCATACCTTCAGATATTTATCTCATAATAAGGTAGCAAAGATTCAATAAACCACTAGATCCATTCATATAAAGTCAACCAATTATCTTGCATAGATTAATATGATATTAATCTTTTGATTGTTGAATATAACAACTCTTTATATGTTTCTCGAATTGTTATATTGTATTGATAATAACAATCAATACATATAACCCTTACAATCACAAATATGTAAGTCCAAGAAACATTCAAATTACTTGTAATCATACCAGATTATTGGAGAAAATCTGGATGAATTGCATAACCAAATAAGGTATCATATGAATGATACATATACATAGGATTAGTCAATAAATCTCAATTATTGAGAAAATAGACCATAGATCCCATGGCAAATTAAATTCGATTCGTTTAAACTTGATACGAATCTCTAAAACTTTTATCAGATTGCCAATAAACCATGAAATTATAAGCTAAACAACATGGTTAGAGGTTGGCTCTGATACCGCATGTTAAACTAACTACGTACATGTGAATGTACTACGCAGCGGAAATTTAAATATACTTACCTCTAACCATTGTTGTCAAGCACAAGTTGATCTCTTCTTGTATCTTTGACTTCTTCTTGTCTATTCTAACAATATAAAATATGTAAAAGAAGGAAAAGTAGAAAGAGAATTTAGAGTAAGGATCTTCTAACTTATGCCTAACCCAAAAGTGTACGATTGATGGAATACCACAGGCTATTTATAGGATAGGCTAGGGACCCTTACTGGCAAATACAAAAATCCCTAGAGTTTCCTTCCATCAAGGAAATCTTGTCAAAATTCATAACTGAAATTAATATTTTCTGACCAATTGATTGATTAACTGATTGAATAAGATATCAATTAACAATAGATATCAATCAATCACTAACAAATGGAATATACTAATTAATTATTGACAAAATGTCCATAAATTAATCAGGATACCAATCACCAATCATTGCCTAATGGGAGATATCAATTAATTGTCAATCAATTAATTAGAATATCAATCAATCATGTGGGTCATAATTTGCCTCTAAAGGAGGTAAGTCTTACATCAGGGTCTCTTCCGATTGCCCAAGCATTGACCATGACTCTTGTTTTAACGGGAATTATATACCCATCAATTTCACATTCGTCCCTGCATTCTCTTGGAATCAACAGGGGGGAATGTATCCTCAAAGTTTCTTTTATTATTAAGTACTTTAGTTCTTGAATATCACTTTCTTCAGCTGTTTTCTTTCCCATGCAGGCTTTCTGTATTTCACTTTGTGCCTTGACCATCACTCTTGGATTTCTAATCACCTCTGAGATTGCCCATTTAACTGTTGCTGATGAAGTTTTATTTCCCGCAGAAAACATATCCAGCATCAAAAGCCAAAATTGTTCGTTAAAACAAACTGAACTTGCAAGTCAGTAGTGAAACTGAAACTTATTGCCTTGCTATCCTCGAAATTCTTCAGAATTCCCTCAAATTTCTTTTTGGGAGGTGGTCAATGGCTTTGCATTACTTCCTTAATGACTTTACCAACATTAGAACGTAAATAGCAGACCATTCTTTCTCAAATTCATCGTAATGATTGCTGTTCTGCAGAGCACAGATCTTGTATAAGAGAGGAGATTTTCTGTTAGATTGATTGATTCTCCTGTAACAGCTAGATCCTTAATTGAAGTAATGAGGTGCAAAGCCTCATCTTGCCAGATGGAGCTAAATGACCAGACACGTTTAGCAGTGAGGAGTGCCAAAGCACATATTTTACACCTGTCTCCAGTCGTCACCATATTGACAGATAGCAATATCTGAAGAGTTATAACATATGATCTTGCCTGACAGAAATTGTGCCTGATTCACAAAGGCAAGATCAAGAGTTTTCATAATCTCTTTCGCTAAATGCGGTGAGGATATGACTATTGTAGAAATTTCACCCAGCTGAAGGTGCATCAAAGGTGCATGCTTTTTAGCTAATTTTCAGAGATCATGATGACGTTGTGAACCTGTCAAATGATGCATAGTTCCAACAATAGGTAGCTTTGATGGAGGCGGCGGCAGCTTCTGTGTGTTTTCGGGTCACTTCCACTGTTTTAGAGTAGCTACAATACAGGCTAAGAATAGGAAGAAAGCAATGAAGCTAAATTCTAGTTCCATAGCTAGATTGTATGTGGTGCAGTTTACATTGCATCTGCTATTTTATCCAGAGTGTCGACGTTGACTTGACACATAAGATTTTTGGTATATTAACAGAAGACATGCTGAATAATATGGATCAGTTAGAAAATAAGTCTGATGGGCTATTCTGCAAATGTTTAAAACAGAATATCTGCCACTAATTAATCGAACCGTGGCTTAATAACTGCATGCTATTTAACATCCACCGTGACTCTTTAGAAGCTGCTAATTTTGGATGGAAATGCCAAATTTGACACCTGATGAAGGCACTTTGTGGAACCTTGTCATTAGAGAATATTAGTCTGTTGAATAGAGGATCTATGCTGCTTTTTAGGTCTATGCTTTGATTGTTGAATGCACATCGTTCTTTTTCATTTTTCCTTTCCTGTGTGACTTGTGTGCATAGTGGTTTGTAGCTTTGCTTTCTTTCGCTTATATTTTCTCAAGAAACTAGTATTCGTAACTGAAGTCCATTTCTTTATTAGAACTGTACATATTCAAGTAATGTTATTATAGAAACCTTTTGCTCATATTACAGTTGGGGAAAGTATTTGGCTCATCCTGATTCACTTAACGGATTTTTTGTCATAGGCAGGAAAGAAGTGAAATTACATTTTGTTACTTTAACCTTGCAAGATTTCTGGGGAAAATATGATCATGGTATCATGGTTGCCCGGGTGCACTATAGCATACAAATATTTGAGCTTCTGATATGCAAAGAAAGATGTTGAAGTCAACATCCAAGATGAGAGGGCTATTCAATATTGGGTGGTTGGTTGTTGGATGATTCATAGTTCATAGTAAGAAAATGCTTGTTCACTCTTTCTCTTTGACTTGCACTGATTCAATGTACAAATCTTCTGATAAAAGTTTAGGTTCCAACTTGTAGAATAGCGGCATGGAAAGTTAGAAGCTCAGGGAAATCAGTAAATTGGCAAATAAACTATTAGGCTAGATCAAAGAAGAACACAGGTCCTCTTTGACTATAAACTTTTCATAAAAACAAAAAGTGATGATATTTACCTGGATTTGTAGTACAATACTTCAGATACTCTCGTACAAAAAGTGATTGAAGGAATGAAGTGAAATTAACCGAGAAAATTTGTGAATAATTAAATCAAATTTCACAATTCATCTGCGAATCTGGCTTGCAACCAAAGGTTATTTTTTCTTGATGCAGTTATTCCAATGGTCTCTGTCATATCTAAATCATTGGAGTTGAGGTCATTCGGAAGTTGCCAATCAAAATGATAGAGCAGAAGAGCTAAAGGAAGCTCAACATTGGCTAAACCAAATGAAATTCCTGGGCACATCCTCCTTCCTGCACCAAATGGAAGATACTCAAAGTGAGTTCCCGTGAAATCAGCAGCACTGTTTTCAAACCTCTCAGGTTTGAAACCATCAGCATCATCCCAATACTCAGGGTCTCTTCCAATTGCCCAAGCATTAATCATAACTCGTGTTTTCACAGGGATGACATATCCATGAAGTTCACATTCCTCCCTGCATTCTCTGGGAACCAATAGGGGAAGAGGAGGGTGTAACCTTAAAGTTTCTTTAATCACTAACTTCAGGTATCTCGCTTGCTGGATATCAGTTTCTTCAACTGCTTTTTTGCCCTTTAAAGCTTTCCTTATTTCATTTTGCGCCTTGGCCATCACATCAGGACTCCTAATCATCTCAGCCATTGCCCATTCCACCGTAGTTGACGAAGTTTCAGTTCCTCCAGCGAACATATCCTACATCAATCCAGAACCATTTTCTTTTGGTGAAACACACGATTACAGGAGAAAAAGCAGGAAGTTTATTTCAATGGCACTTACAATTAGAACAGCTTTGATGTTATCTTTGGTGATTGGAACCTGAAGGTTATCACCATCTTTTACTCGTAGTAGAACATCAATTAAATCTTCCTGGTAGGATTCACCACTTGCCAATTTTGGTCTACCTTGGTCGTCAATATGCTGATCAATTATGCCATCCAACATCATATCTATCATATGATGGACATGCACCATTTTAGACTTTACTGAAAGGAGGGGATGAAGAATTTTGAGTGATGGAAAGAGATCAGAGAAGTCAAAAGCGCTTGATAGGAGTAGTGATTCCTTGATCAGTTGCAAGAATGCATTTTGGTCATCTTTGCTTACTTTCCCAAATGCTGCTCTGCAAAGCACGGAACTTGTGTACAAGGAAACTAATTCTGACAAATTGATTTGTTCCCCAGTGCCAACCAAAGCCTTGATTGATGAAATAAGATGAAAAGCCTCATCTTTTCGAACAGAGCCAAACGATCGGACACGTTTAGCACTAAGGAGCTCTAGAGTGCAGATTTTACGCATTTGTCTCCAGTATTCACCATATGGTGAGGAAACAACATCTGAACAGTTATATCTTCCGATCTTGGTTACTAGAATCTCAGCCCTGCTTGCGAAGGCAAGATCATGATTTTTCATGACCTCTTCTGCTAAGCGTGGGGATGATATGACGATTGACGAAATTTCACCAAGCTGAAGGTGCATAAGGGATCCATGTTTCTGAGCTAATCTTCTGAGAGCATGTTGGGGTGGGGAACCTATCAGACGATGCATATTTCCAATCAAAGGTAGCTTCCATGGAGATGGTGGCAGCTTCTGAGCTGCTTTGAAGCTCTTCCACTCCTTGACTAAAATCCAAACAAACGATAGTAAAGCAAAGAAGCCAATGAAGTTGAAGGGAAGATCCATTTCAAGTAATCTTCTATTCTCTAATCTTTTGATTGCTTCCAGTTTTATGCTGACAGTAGTCTGGATAGCCACAAATTAAGTTGATAGCTAAAGTATCTTTTAGAGGTTGTTGAAATTGACTAGATTCAAAAGTTACTTAAACACGTATATCACTTTCCTAATAATTAATACCAGAATAGTTTCTCTTCGATAAGGTTTCAACTGTTTTAAAGTAGGATTGTCAACTTAAGCATGGTAGATAATGTTATTTTCAAGGGATAATTTTAGAAACCTCCCCTGAAGTTTCTAACAATTTCATCGACCTATCTTAAGGTTTTGAAAATGACATAAACCTCCCCTGAACTCATAGTTATAGTAACATGATCAGCTCATGTCAGAAAAATGAGCATTAAAAAAGTATTTTGAAGAGTAAGGTGATATTTGTGTTCCATATATTCCCTTTTTATTTATACACAACTTGTATTAGTAAATAATGAAAAATATTAAAAGACATAAATAATTAGTAAATTCTAGCAAGTGTAAGAGCTATTAGAAAAAGTGTTGTAGTAACAACTTGAAGTTTCAGTTTGCACCAATGTCTAGTGCAATGGCCATATTTTTAGTTTCTTTCAAAGGCATATAAACAGCTCAAGCAACTCAAGAAATAATTTATTTTTTGTGTGATTATCTGATTTTGAGGTAATAAAAAGTGGCAAGGCTGGAACAACCAAAGTCTATAGTTAACATGATACTCATCATAAATATCACACTAGGTGTTGTATTTATATTCATCCAAATTATAAAATCAACTGAATAAACTCTTGTAACAAATGTAAAAGTGCCACGACATTGTACCAGCCATTTTAAGTTTTTTCTAATTATATAAGAAGTAAACCAGTAGTACTTGTCAGTTAGATTATATTTGGAAGAAATGTATGACTGTTATTTGATGACTACTACTGTAACTTTACTAAGAGATAATAAGTTACAACATATTAGTTGAACTAATTAGTAAGACAACATAAGCCACTTGACGTTAGTTCAAAATTGCTATAATTGTAGCAGTTATAGTACTACATAACTATTGCTGCAATCCAAGATAGTTTCAAAACACCATTTGCCCCAAAAGAATGAAGCAGGTGATAAGGATTGCAAAGCCAAATTTCATGACCATTGATTGTTTGTCACTAATGCCAACCATATACAAAGGCATGAGTGGGTAGCATGTCAATAATCTTAATGCAAATCAGCAGATTTTAACTTGAAGGGAGTCATGCTTTTCTCCTTCCTTTCCCTCGATTTTTCTATCTTCCCCAAGTTTTTGTATAAGACTGTCCTTGTGTTGCTCTCTAAAGTCATGTCGAATCACAAGAAAATGGCATCATATTTGTGCATCAATTAGTGCCATTTCTTAAGTGCAGTTACATTGGCTTATTAGAGGTAGAACCACGGTTAATATCATTTAATTAATGACCTAATTATGTTTTTCCAGAAATTCATTTCTTATCAGCCTTTTATGCATTAGGGCAAAGCAGTAAATTCATTCCAGGTTACATCAGCAATGGGCTCCAAAATCAATTGAGGGCAGGTCAGTGTTATTTTCGAAACCTCAAGGGAGGTCAATGAAATTGTCAGAAACCTCAAGGGAGGTTTCTAAAATTATCCCTATTTTCAATTGTATATTGAATAATTCATTAGCCAATCGGATAAGTTGCTTATTAGTTTTCATTTTGTCTATTTAATGGAATTTGACACAAAGCTACAATACTGACTGCAACTAATTTCTTTAGTCATAATTGTAGAAACTTACCTACAGAATTTGTGTTATTGCAGAATATTTTACTATTAGATTACTAATTGATAGTACAATGATGATTAGGGGACCATAAGAAGCCTGACATTTTGTTTTCTTTTTTTATGGCAGAAGAAGCCAAGTCCATGGGGTTATCTTGCTGATGCATCTTTTTGTATATTTTCTGTCATGGTGATAATGTAACTATTGTTAACTTTTTATCTTCTCGAACATTTTTCCCACAAATTTGTGGTAAAATGCAAGCATCTTGGCTCATACTGCAAAGGAATCATTTGGGGCCAACTACAAGTGTCATTAGTTGATCAATAACCTTTGCTCTTGCTTATGCACACATGAAGATACTTTAAAAAGACAAAGTTCTGTCTTGATGATTCATGTTAAAGAAACCTGTGATTAGCTTTAATGGTCAACTTTTGTAGCTTTCTCCATTCATAGCTTTAATCAACAAATTTTTGGCAAAAAATTTTTAGCAACAATCAGAATTTGGGCATGAAAGTGAAGAGCATGAGGAAAGTCAATGAAATAGCCAGAATAA